ATAGGAGAAAATAAGGGATCCATATATAGATATTTTTTCTATAACCATCGTTGAACAGCCGACCTAAATTTTGGGTTTACGATTACTAATGTTTAACTCCGTAGTCTCTTAATTTTGAACCCAATCCAGAAGACAAGGGAGCTCCTAGATCAAGTATTGGGAGAAATTTGCATTCGCGTAAGATTTTTTGTAACCCATGATCCGTCTACCACTGTCGTCGGTGCGAGCCAAGTGCGAAATTCGTATTAACCAACCATTGCTAGGATTCAAACCCGGTTTACAGCATTGGAACGCGAATGTCCTATCCCCTGAGCCACCACGACTCAACCAAATTATAAAATTCGTTTATCCAAGGATAACTTCATGCAAAAAAAAATAGCTTTTAATCAGCATTATGTATTTTTTATTATTTTATTTAATAACAGTTTAAAAAATTTTGAATTGTAAGGCATACAATTTTTACATCATTTTAAGTAATTTGATTCTACATAACAAAATACCAAATGTGAGAAAATCAGTCGAATAGTTTCTAGGAAAATTGATTTTGAGAATAAAATGTTTGTAAAAAAAATTGATTTCTCCGGAACTATTAGCCGAATTTCGTTAAGAAATTTTTTTTTCTTGGCTTGTAAAATTACATTCTTTAAAAAGATCTGAAAAATGGTATACCTTGCGATTCAAAATTTTTTTTCACTATTATTAAAGAAAATAATATAAAATAATAAAAACTTACTAAAAGTTATATTTTGCATGGAGTTATCTTTGGATAAATGGATTTTATAATTGTGCGCAAATTTATTTTCAACTCGCTAAAAAAGTATTGGAGATGTAGTGAAATATGCAAAAAAGGTAAAATTAACATTAGGGAGTCCAAACTTCGGTACGCTCTCCTAAGTAAACTATTGGTACCATATTTCCCTGAATGCGGCTAACCCATATGTTTTTTCTTTCAGAAGTCCAAAAAGTATGTTACTTAGAGAAAGTAAATTTTTGCGTCTGATTTCGCAACTTAAATTATAGTCTGCACTAATTAATTAGTCTATTTGAGGTAACACCTTTGAATTAAGATTTACTCCTAGAACGTGAAATCCGATTATTAGATCAAAAGTAATTTTGGTTAGTCCGTTTATTCTTTTAGCATTGTGCTTGAGCATATTAAGATTAGATATTAAGCACACTTGGCAGCTTTGGAAGGACAAATTAGATAAAGTGCAATTGATAAAGTGTTAAATTAGATAAAGTGTTATACTTATGTGCCTTGGAAACTTAATCATGGAAACCATTAACCATGGAAACTTAATCAAATTATTTTTATTACTTAAAGCATTTTCATAGATTTTATTATTAAGATAGAAAAATAAATATCTATACATAATTATTAAGACTATCTCTAACTTATAAAAATATAAATAGTTTCAGTTTTAAATTATCTTGTGACTTTTTAAAGCTAAATTAAAAGGCAGTAATAATTTTTAAACATGATAATTTCATAGCAAATACTTTATTTTATGAATCGGCTTTGTTCAGAAGTGTTGTCTAAGCGTAGCAGACGGCTTAACCATGGTTTACATTGAGGACGTTGCCTGCTCAACAAAAGCAACCATTGTTTTTGGGGCAGTACTACATTTTAGTTTGTTGAAGACGACCTGACATGCTTATGAGTTGAAAACATATTAAAAACCTCTTCCCTACTCTCTTAAACATTAAAAATTGGATCCCTAAGGATATCACAAAATTCGTGTTAAAATTTATAATCGATTAATCAAAATAAGGTCTTTTTTTCTTCCAACTGGTAATAAATGGCATAGATAAATGATCATAAATGATGATAATAAATTATCACAAATCATAATAATTGAAGTGTTTTTGAAAACATGTAAAAGTGTTTTTATGGCTGCTTGTGTGAGATTGAAGAAGAATAGGACCAACAAATATTTATGAAGAATGACTATGTGCAACTGACTTGATGGTGAAATTCCAATGCGTTTACATTTAGCTTATGTAAGAAGCTTTTTTGCTCTATTTTTAGTACCTAATAGCACAAAAGACAGTATAACACTTAACAATAATAATGTAACACAATAACATTTTCAGCAATAAGACTATAATTTTTGATGGTTCAGCAATCCTGCATTTCTTTCTTTCTTTTTATGAAAATCTTTTCATGCCGATATTACATTTTTGGCGAAACACGAACTCTCAAATATTTGACGAAGTTGTAAAATCACTCGAGTGTGATCTCAGTAATCTTCAAAAAAAAATTTTTGGATTTTTTTTTTTATATTTTTTATTTTTTGATATTCCACTTATGAGGACATGGTACAGAGGCTGATGAACTCACTTGGTGAGTAAGTTTCATGGTTTTGCAGCCTTGCAATGGATAAAAACTAATTCGCATCTTTTCCTGTTATTTTGTGTTGAATTTCCAAACCAATTGTGTCAAGCAAAATGTAGAAATAAACCAAATGTTCTTTTATGACCGTCGTTGAACAGTCCACCCAATTTTGGGTTTACGACTCCGAATGTTCAACTCCTTAGCCTTGTAATTTTGAACTCATTCCAGAAGACTCCTGGATCAAGTATTGCTCGAAATTCACCTTTGTGGAGGACTTTTCGATGGAACTAGCCCGCAATTGCATTACATGGAGAGGAAAATCGCGAAAACGTCCAACGGTCAGCCTGATGGCAAGGGGAATCTAATCCATGATCCGTCTACCACTGAGGATATATCACGTCAGCACTGTGGTTGGTGTGAGCCGGGTGCGGAATTCATATCGGCGTTGCTGGGATTCGAACCCGATTCACCTCATTGGACGGCGAACGCCCTGTGCTACCACAGCTCAAAAAAATGCTCTTGAAGAAATTCGTATCCTCCAATAAACTAAGATAATAATTTCTTTAATTTGGTGAAAAGTTTGGTCAGAACACTTCTCAAGAAAGGCTTTAATCTAATCTCTGTCCGTTTTTTTAGCCTCAATTTTTTTTTACATTTTTTAAAACGTAAGGAGGCTAAAAGTATAAATTTGTCCCATTATCCCAAATTCGGTAGTACAGATTTTCCTGTAATTTATCTCCTGCAAAATTATTTTAAGGGCATAGTAAATCATTTTTGGAAAAAATAAAAACGTGCTTACTGTATTCTTTGACTGAAAAATCATTCAATTCCTAGACAACAAAAATGTATAATATTTTGAAAAACAGTTTTAAGGAAGGGGAAATACATGAATGATGAATCAATACTGTTTTTATGATAATGTGATGTATTTCATTATGTTTCTAATCGGGTACGAACTTTTGCAATCCCCTCATACATAAAATTGCTTACATTCCTGTTATAGATTTATATATTCCTGTTAATCGATGCATATTGAAAATGACAGATCCAATTCATGACAGATCCATAATCAGTTCCTGTTTGCCATCTAATATATTAAACTATTAACGAGTTCATATTTATTGTTATTCTTGATTTATGATAGTTTTGAATCTATTGAATATGCTGAGTAATCAATTGTCTTATACACTAAATGATAAATTACGCATTTATTCTTGACGCTTGCTTAAAATTATTCAAATACATGGTAAATTTACACAAAGAAAACCAACCTTTATTAATCCTGTTTATTTATGCATATTGTAAATGGTAGATCCAATTTATTATTCTCGATTTCTTATTTTGACGTAAAATATTAAGTTATCCCTGAGTTCATCTTTGTTGTTGTTACTGATTCAAGAAGTTGAAGTTTTATGTCTAATCAATGTAAGTAGAAATCAGTATTATATACCACATGATGCATTAGGTAATATTCATTAAGCATATTTAAATTTATTTAAATGGTTAATGCATTAACATAGAAAAACACAACTTTTTTAAATCAAGTATTAGATTGTCACATCATCAAAAATATCTCTATGTCTTATTATACCTTAATATATACCATGGTTTTTAACAGACTATGTTAATTACTAAACGTTTACTAAATGCATATTTTACAGCTAAAACTCGAAAGATGTTAACGTGCACATTTTCTGGCTAATTTGATGATTAAATGATTTGCTTTCACTAACTGATAAATTCTGAATCAAATGTTTTCTACATTTTACCAAAGTAATGCAAGAAGTTATGAATTTTGTATCATTAAAGTTCAAAAGTTTATATCCCTTATTCGATCAATTTATTTGTTCATTATTTTAACTTTGACGCTTTTTATATATTGAAAAATAAACAAATTGCATTAGGTTACTTTTTTAATTGTAATAATACTTTAAACCGTTTGGTTCTTAGTATTAGTTTTTAAAGTTATTAATGATTGATTCGATCAACTAGTTTGTTGATTGTTTACATTAACTTGATTATTTTAGATATCAAAAAACAAAAAAACATAAAATATCAGAAGCATTGGTGTTGTTTTGGCTAAGAAGATCTAATTTTCCCTTCAACAAGTACTTGCAAATTATCTATAGGCAGATTACCAAAGTAATGTAAGAAATGAAACAATTTTCGGCACTTAAATGAATCACGTTACTTAATCTATACTTTACTTAGATAATCTGCGGAATAACTGATCTTTCGAGTTAAATAACATCTTCCCTCAAATCACTTTCAAAACTCAAAACCTTATTTCCCTCTCAATTGCCGATGGTCAACTCTACTTCTTTCGACACGAAGCTCTTCATTTACTGAACTTTACATTTACAGAACTTCAGAAAGTAATAATAAAATTTGTCAATGAAAATCGAAATACATAAACAAGTTTTATTTTTTGTACGACTAACAAAATTATTCTGAAATAAAATAAAAATATTCTGCATTCAAACTATAGAAGAAAAGTGTGTGAAATCGAACTTTATTTACATCTGATTAAGCATAAAATGTTTACAATGATTGATTTTCATTGTGTTTCGATGAAAATCTTTGTTTCTTATTCCATTTTAATAAAGATGAATTTATACAGTAAAATATATAAAATTTATAATAAAAAACATTTTATTCTACATACCTTTCTTGAATTATATCTTGAAAAAAAAAATCCTTCTTTTTAACAGAACTCACTAATCCTAATGACTGTTTTATTGCTTTTGGTATGTATTATCACATGCTATATCCTCTTAAGTTTTAATGCAAAAACTGTTTTCAACCAAACATGAACGAAATATTATAAAAATCAAAAGACTCAAATGAGATGATGCGATAACCTCACACACGTGATTTGTGAAGATGTCTTGCAAATATTAGAATTTTATGAATTCACACAACCAAATAGAAATCTACACAAAAGTCCTGAGCTTAATGTGCGAATTAAGAGTTTTATTTATGCATTTTTCTCAATTAATAAAATTCACTGAGAAATAAAATCACTATGTTTCATATAGTATCTTAATGTTGTGATTATTCCACGAAGAAAACGATTTCATACTATATCTATGATTTGCAAACGATTTTTTTATTGCGAATTTGAATAAATATTCGTTGAAAAGTCTATGCATTTGAACACATTTATCACAAATAAGTACTCTTCTTATGAAACACTGCTTTCTTGTATTAATCCAATTAAAAGAACAAATCCGCATTTCTGTGGAGAACATTTTCTTCTCTGATGACTAGAGAGAGCTTTAACACTCTAGCTACCTGCGAGTCTCGTTCTTTCGGCCCTTCAATAAGATTGCGACGTCATGATGTCACGTGGTACCTCGTAAGTGGAGCCTTCCGCTTCTGATCACTAGGAGTAAATCTCATTTATGCAACCATCTTTGGTCACTAAATAGAAGTTTGGATTTTTTTTGTTCCAAATCGTCCGCGCTTTGCAGATTAATCATTGTTTGAATGATCCATGTCAATAATTCAACACACATTAGGGAATGGAAATTACGAATAGAAATAAATAGGTGGCATCGCAGTTGTCTCCAAATCAATACGCGCACATGTCGGAGATCGATAGAGATTTGTTTACTTCATTCTCCCGCGACAGAAAGTTTCTCTTTTAGTGCGAGAATTGAATTCTTCCGCTCACGCTGTGCCGAATTAAAGATTTAATTAATTAGATTTGTATTTGTTACGAAATAAATCACATCATCAAATTCATCGACAAAGAAAATTTTTCCTCAGTAAAATGTTTTAGATGAAGAAAATATATTAAATAGAAAAAGAATATAATTTAGGCATGAAACTTTGAGTACTAAGTGCTAGAAATATAAATAAGATCTAGTTGAATTAATGTTTTATACATAAAACAAAATAGATTAAAAGCAAAGGAAATAAATGTAAAAAGAATGATTATTAAAAGAAGAAAATAAATTATATAAAAAAAATTGAAGAAAAAAATAGAAATTGCCCGTTTTAGTAAGTCAAATAGATGAATGTGAAAGTACATGTTTACATAAAAAAAAAAACATATTACAAATAATTTAAACTAAGTAAAAATCCTAATTTTTACATTAAATTTCATTTAGGAAAAACTGTTTCTTCTACTTTTTAAACAATTAAAACTTGCTCGCATTTTTATTTTAGTATTAATTTTGTATAAAATTTAATTTTAAAAATTGATTTAATTTAAAAATAAACTATGCATAGCAGGAAACGATAAACTTCTCAAATGTACCCAAATAAATTCATGAGTGGATAAGTTCAGTATAACGTTTTGTGGATAGAAATGACTCAGAAAACTGGAAGTTCACTTTTGATACACATTATTAAATGTTCGAATGTCTGCAGTGTTAACTATGCACATATATTAACTCACATTTATATACACATTTCGACTCTTAATGTTGAACTCGGTTACCTTGTAATTTTAAACCCAACCCAAAAGACAATGAAACTCCTGGATCAAATATTGGGAAAAATTTGGCCTCGTGGTTGACTTTTTTTAAGGAACTAGTCTACATTTGCGTTACATGGAGAGGAAAACCACGAAAACTTCATTCGGTTAGCCTGATGAACAGGAGACTCAAACTCATGATCCGTGTACCACTGAGGATATTTTACGCATCATTGTGGACGGTGCGAGGTAGGTATGGAATTCGTATCGACCAGTCAATGCTTTGATTCGAACCCGGTTTACCTCATTGGAAGGCGAGTACGCTATCCCTTGAGCCACCATCGCTCTATACACATATTGCTCACTCCTGGCACAAACCATGGAGTTAACTTAAACTATTTAAATGTCACACAAATAATGCATTAGAATCTAATTGCCTCGACGCTAACAAGGTGAAGATTTTCGTTACTTTTTGTGGTTTCATGATGAGTTAATTTCTCTCAAAAAAAACACTTAATAAAAACTATTTTTTCTAATTTTTGACTTGCCCTTTCGTCTCTTGGGTTGAGTTTAAAAAATACGATAACTTTAAGATGAATTTATTGCTTTAAATCCTCTTTCAGTGTTACAAGGTTCTTAGTCAGTAAAATAAAGTTGTAGAAAAATTCTTTTTGGCTCTTAAAAGTAAGAGTCTGAAATCAATGTGTAACAACATAACACATTAAAAAAGTGATTTTTTTCCTTATCTTTTAAGAGTAAAAGATTAAGATCAATGTGTAAAATAACGCTAGATCTAATGTGACTCTGCGCAACCCGATTGATCTATCAATGCATGAAATACGATTATTAATATGAATACAGAATATTTTTACAGAATTTAGAATATATTTATTTCCTTTTGTTCACCAAAAAGCGTTTTATTGAACCAAGATATCCAATTTTAAACTTCCTGAATATTAATTTTTCTTTTAAGTTCAAAGTTTTTTAGCTTAAAAAATACTTGCAACCTTAAAATTTAAAATTTTCTATTTCCATAAAATCTAACACATTTCAATAAATAAAACACTTCAAAAAATATTCTGATTTATTATTTATTTAACAAATAAATGAGGAAATTTTTCAGACTATTCTCCGTAAGGTATGAGACCCCTTCAGACAGAAAAATGATTTTATTTCCCCCATGTTAGCAAACGGGAAAAATGTTCCTTATTTATTCAGGGACTGCTTACTATTTTTTAATAATTTTATTTTCATTGAATCCATTGGAAGGTGTTCGATTTAACATAGTTAACAAATTTTAGATTATTTGCATTTCTGAAACTTGAAACTTTGAAAAGGCTTTACAAATATTTACAATTTTAAAAATTAAAATTTGGTAATTACGTTCAATAGGACCTATTTCATATAGTAAAATGAAACAAAAAATATTCAAAAATAGTAATTAGTCTGTGAATAAATAAGAAAATTCTGGGCATGCACTTTTCCGTAGGTTAACATAGAGAAATTGAAATCCTTTTTCCCCCAAAAGAGACTCCTTTAACAAATATTCTTAACGTTAGAAATCAAATTCAAACCTTTCAAAACTCAGGATACAATTTCATAAAATAATTTCGGTTATGAATTATAACATATTGTTAACGAGCTATTATTCAAATTGTTCCATCGTTTTGTAACAACTCTTTTGCTTTATTTTTGGCGTTTTATGTTAATTTGATAATCCTCTGTACGAAGTGTAAAGAAAAATGGAGCTTCATTAAAATAAATTACGAGATACTAAGTGTTCGTATTCAATTCGTGATTGTAACTTGAGCTGCTCTAAATGGAGCTGGTGGTATGGAGCTTAGCTAAATGGAGCTAAATGGTATTAAAGTGTAAGTGATGTATCAGTTCTACATATTTTTATGAAAACAGTTCTTTGAGAGTCCGCAACATTCTCAATTCATGGGTTTTGTTAGTCAACTGTGTCGATTTCAAATAATAGTGGATTTAATCATTTTGTTAGTAGACGATATTCATCTTTATCTCAAAGAACAATGGGTATACTATTTTCGTTAATCTACCCTATCTGTCTTGATTTCGAATAATATTGGATATAATGATATTGTAAGTCAATCATAACACAAAAGATTAATGGATTTAATTATTTGTTAGTCAACCATAATCGTCCTGATTTCAAATTATTAATATTATAATGCGTTTGTTAGTAAACCATATCCGTCTTTATTTCAAAGAATAGCGGATTTAATGTTTTGGTTTCCAATTATAAACATTTTAAATTTAAAAAAAAATGGATTAAATACTATTTTTTGTCAAACAAATTCATCTTAATTTCAAGAAAAAGAGGGTGTAAATGTTTTTGCTAGTCAACTGCAATCATCTTGATTGCAATAAATAATAGATTTAATGTTTTTCTAGGTCAATCATATTTGTTTTGAATTCAAAGAATGCTGTAAGAAAAAAATTCAAGAAATAGTTCAATTGACAAGATGTACAATCTCATGTTTTATCTTTAATATGAATAAAAAAATCATAATTTTGAAAACCTTGCCATCAAAAGGCGAGGAGAGATTCTGATTCAAATATTTGTTTCAATCTTTGCAGTTCTTAAAAAATGTACAAGATATTAAAATAGATTTATTGTTTTAGGGAATCAAGCATAAACGCGAAAATTCTCAACGAATATTGTAAAGAAAACATTTTAGAATAATTTNGGGGGGGGGGGGGGAGGGAACATAGCATGATTTTATAAACCGTGTTAATACAATGCTTAGAATTTGTTTTTAAACATACGATTAATTGACCAGAAATAGTATTTCAACTCAGCCAGTTTATTTATTTTTTCCTTTTAATTAATTATTACCCTAAATTTATTCTTTTTTTCCAAAATTTTTGGTCAACATTCAATTTTAAAAACATAAACACATTCGATTCTACAAACATTTTATATTTTTTTAATAAAACTTTTGATTCATCAGAAAACTTAGTATCAGTTCAATCAAAACTGACATTTTATCAGACATGAAAATTATTTTTTAAGTTTTTCCTTCATTTTAGAACTCTCCTGATCCCATTATTTTTTTCATATTTGGGACTGATATTCAATTTAAAATATTCTGACCTCCTATCGACTAGTTAATTGTAGCGCTTTAGTAGAATTGAGAAATCAGATTGATCCGCAGTAGCTGGAAATCATTGCAGTTCTGTGTGTACTTCTTATTTACACTGCAAGCGTCTAGATCCTGAGCTATTCGTGTGAGTTAAGTCCCCGAACTAACCAAATCAAAGCAATCGCACCGACGTGATTGGCTTAATTTAGTAATCACTGTAACTCTCCTTAGACACAATTGGTTTGGATGCAACTCTACCGTTTCCCTCATCATGTTAGATGAGGCAGGGAAACTATTTATGTTTCACAAATTAACCAATCGATTTAATGTTTTTTTTTAATTGAAAAAATTTTATTATTTTATTTTATTAGATTTTTATTTTATTTTATAGATTAAAGGAAGTTTTATTTTATTTTCAAACTTAAAACAGAGTTTCCGTGAATTAAAAATAATGTTTTATTGATATTTGTATGTATAAGGGCAGTTCTCAAAAGTTTGGAGCATTACACAGATATAACTTTTAAGCTCTGAAAACAATCGGGTGCTAGCAACTCGAGAAGAATTGAAGTGACTATGCTTAACCATGTGATTTCAATCAAATTTAATTGGATACCTGTAAGCGACGTCATGCCAGTGTCTCGAACCTGATTGGCTTCTGAATCGTCAAACGCTACGATTTGCCTATGATGACGTCATTTGCAAGCATTATTCTTACATTTAATTCACAGTAAAAATTTCAGAGTAAATTTGTTATTTTGTCTAGTGATGGAAATTAACATAAATTATTTCATAAGTTTTCTTTGAATATCTTAAAACAATATTTTCTCTACCCAAAAAGAAAAAAATTTGAGCATTCACGAGGAGCCACTATAAAACCAAAAAAATCTGGATGTTTACAAATAAAAATAAGAGTATAAAATTTAAAAAGAAAGCCTACCTAACAAATGGCAGCAATTGATAAGCTATATTACAATGCGAAATATTTTTATTTGTGAAGTATTATTACATGTGAAACTCCAAAAATGTAATTGCGCTGTTAATTTAACAGAATTCATTTTGCTACTTGGTAATTTTTCCGTTCATATAGTAGCAGTTTACCGA